CGGCCGCGCCAGGCTGGGACATCTCGATCAGCTGTTTGCCCACGAGCATGCGCACCGTCGGCAGCACGGGCACCAACAGCAGGTCGAGGAGCGCGGTGGCGGTGTCGGGGCCCTCGCGCAGCATGCGCATGGTGGCCGGGCCGGTGATCGGGTTGTTGAGCAGCATCAGCAACGTGCGGCCCGCGAGCAGCGCCGTCTCGCGCGAGGCGGCGCCGGCGGTGTCGACCGCCCCGCCCACGGCCCCGCCCACGGCTCCCGCCGCCTTGTGGACGCTGAGGATGTGGCGGAGGTTGGAGATCGTCGCGAGCGGGTTGGTGCGCTTCTTGGCCGGCTTGCCGGCGGAGGCGGACTGCTCGACGTCGACGTTGATGTCGTCGACGTCGGCGTGCGGGGTGGTGCGCTGCGAGGTGGCCATCGTCGTGCCGGAGGTCATGCGTCGTGCGTCCTTTCGGGCTTGCGAGTTTGCGACCTTGTGGGCACGTTCTCATATTCCTTGGTGGCCCGCACTTAGATTTGTTTCCGTCGGTCCCGTGTGCCGGTGTTGTGTTACCGCTCCACCGAGCTGAGGTAGTTAGTTCCTCCCTTCTTTCTCGGTTTTGCTCTGGCGCCCGCCCGTGGGCGGCTCCAAGTGCTCCTCGCTGCATTGCGAGTTCTCCAGCCACGACAGCATGAGTAGGGTGCCCACAGGACCCAAAAAAAGAAAAGAAAAAAGAAATGGGCCACCCCCGATCGCAGCACTTCGTGTTGGCCAGTCGAGATATTGAGAGTGTGACTAGGAGGGTGGGACGCTGGGGATTCTCAAAGGTATACCCTTGGAATGGCCGGATCCAGCCTTAAAAGTACGAGATCGCGCGCGCTTCGCGCGCTGCACCGCCTGTTCTCCGCGGCTGTGTGACGACGCGTGCCGTGTACCAGCAGAGTTGGGCGCGCGCGGCGCGACGGCGCCCGCGAGGGAAGGCGCGGGTGCAGCGGCCGCCGGCGGCCGTGCCGCCCGCCAGCCGGCGCAGCAGCGGCCAGCGCAGCGGCCGCCGGCGCAGCAGCCAGAGCAGCCGGTGCGCGCCTTGCGAGGCGAGTACTGCCGCCCGGCAGCCTTGAGGCGGCCGGGCGGCAGTACTCGTTCGAACTTTGCGAGCCGTGCGCGCGCCGAGGCGCCCGCGGCGCGCGCCCGCCCGGCTGCCAGTAGGAGGCGGCGCAATATGGCCTATAGTACAGCCCTTGAGGAGGAGGAAGAGGCTGGCTGGCAGTGCTGTATGCCGCCGAGGGGCAGTTTTGGGGTGCTGTCACGGGC